CAGAGAGAAACGAAGCTAGTTGGCTTCCAACCCTCTGTCCTTACGAACCAGGCTGGAATGCTTGTACGTGTGTTGTTTTCTACCTACGCTGGTGTGCGTGTGCGATAAATTACAGGCATGCATTTGCTGGGTCATACAATTCTATACGTTCGTGATTTTGGTAGAAGTTGTGAAAATGGCCCCCATTAAAACAAAATAGCAGCTTACTCTCCACCAATAGTGTTTCAGGGTGCCAGTTTTTCTTGAACTTTATCGAAATTTTGGATTTTGCCCCTCTCCTATGTATTATAGCCTTGGTGACACTTAATTTTCATTTATTTTATTATAAATATATAATTATTTTATTATAACTCAATATATATACATTAATCATATATTTTATTTAAATAAAATTATTATATTTATTATGAATTTATTTTATTATAAATAAATTTATTATGTAAATTACATATAAAACATATACATTATATATTTATATAAATATATAGATATTTATATATTGTAAGTATATTGCATTTATTTTATTATTATATTGTAAATGTATAAATATATATTATTGTATTTTTTTTTATAAAGTTTGAGCATCTTTTTATACGTTTTGCTTATTTATACCTCCGTTTCTGTGAAGTGCCTGGTCACGTCTTTGGCTTTTTTTTTTTTTTTTTAATTAACGTTTTGGTCTTTGGCTTTGCTGTTTATAGGAGCTCGTTATATTGGGAGATCAGCCCTTTGTCTGCGGGACTAGTTGTAGATATTTCCCATTTTGTCATTTCTTTGATTGCCTTTTTTTTTTTTTTTTTTTAATTAACTCCCCGGTCAACTCATTCTTCGTGTGAAGCGTTTGGGTCTGGGTTGTTTGCCGTCATCACACAGCCTCGATCATCCAGACATATTCAGGGTCCCCACATGCTGGGCGCACAGCCGCTCACGTTCCTGATCACGCTGGCATTGCCTTTCTGGAGGCTCCGTGTGGTGTTCAGGGAGCACAGCTTGTAAGCGGCAGAGACAGGAGTTAGACCCAGACCTCCCTGGGTTAGAGCATCACCACCACTACCTGGCTATTCAGTCTAATTTAAGAGAATGCAAACTAGTCTTCTATTAATCAAAGGGAAGTAAAACTCATAAGATGAAAACTACTAGGAAAGAAACAAACGAAGAGTGGTGCTATCTTATGACCCACTGCTTGGGAATGTTCCCCTCCATCGGTGCAAACAGAGCAGTTCAAGATGGTGTAATGTCAGCAAATAATTATTAGTTAATATATGTTAATGATGCCATGAAGAAGTTATTATGTGTGTGATGCCCGTGTTGAGTATAATGTCCTCCGCCTTCCCGTGTTCTTTGTGTATGCAAATATAAGTTATTAGCTACAGGCAAACTGCCTCACAGTTGACTGTCACCGTTGACCCAATCTCTGTATCCCTTGGTGGCCCAAAACAAGCTAGATATTTTTTTTTTCATTTTTACTGATTTGGCAGATTTTTCCACCAGCTGTCAGAGTGGATACCTACAGAAGTAAATGTTCCCTTTCTCATCCCAGAGATGTTCTGTGTGTATGTGGGGGTGGGGTGGGGGCAGGCACGTGCTGTCTGCTCTCCAGGGTGACCCCACACTATCCTTTTTATTTATTTATTTATTTTAAAGATTTTATTTATTTATTTGACAGAGATCACAAGTAGGCAGAGAGGCAGGCGGAGAGAGGAGGAAGCAGGCTCCCTGCTGAGCAGAGAACCCGATGTGATGCGGGGCTCGATCCTAGGACACTGGGATTATGACCTGAACCGAAGGCAGAGGCTTTAACCCACTGAGCCACCCAGGCGCCCCTCACACTATCCTTTTTAAACCGCAACTGCATAAACCACAGTCGTCAGGGAAATTGCGAATCCAAGGGAAACTTGCAGTGGATGGTGGTTTTAGGGAGAGGTGAGCAGCCCAAGAAGCTCAGAATAACCACAAATGAAAGTAATAATAAATATTCTCTCCTCAGGTATAGAATCTTGGGTCCCCAACTGCATAAGAATAAGCCGTTTAAAGAAAAACTCCAGGGTCACCTGGGTGGTTTAGTCAGTTAAGCCTCTGCCTTCTGCTCAGGTCATGATCCTGGAGTCCCAGGATCGAGTCCTGCATCGGGGTCCCTGCCCAGCGAGGAGTTTGCTTCTCCCTCTGCCCCTCCCCCATCATGTTTCTCTCTCTCTCTCTCTCTCTCTCTGTCTCCCTCAAATAAATAAATAAAATCTTTTAAAAATTTAAAAAAAAAAAAAAAAGGAAAAGAAAAACTCCAGGGGCACGTGGATGGTGCAGTTGGTTAAGTGTCTGACTCTTGGTTTTGACTCCGGTCATGACCCCAAGGTCAGGTGATTGAGCCCCATGTCGGGCTCTGCACTTAATGGGGAGTCTGCTTGAGATTCTCTCTCTCCCTCTGCCTCTCCCTCCCCCGCCATGCGCTCTCTCTCTCTGTCTCTCTCTGAAATTAACAAATGTTTTTGAAAATCTCCTTTCTTAAATAAGAGAAAAAGAAAAACTCCAAGGAAGTAAGCCTGTCAGGGTTTTATTCTCTGGACGTTGAAGGTAATGTAATGAGCTCTAATGGAACTAGACTTCGGCTGCGTGCGGTAGAAAGGGGAGCAGAGAGTGGAAGAAGTAAGAAGTCGGCAACGCTCTCAGCCCACCGAAACCCCCCGCCCCTTCAGAACCCAAGGCATCATGCTTGCCTTTGCTTGCTTGTAAGGGTAGGGAAGGATGTCAGAGGCCACTTTGAGGCTCTGATTTTACCCCTTATTTCTGCATAGCCAGCACATTCAAGCGACTTGATGTTGCGTGAGTTCCAGAACTATTCCTCTTGACAATCCCGGAGGACCTGAGTTATGTGTCCCCTTATAAATCTCAGAGAATGAGGAAATGTTCGCATGTAATGCCCGGGGAACACGTAAGAATTCTGAGTATTCAGTGTACTGGCCTAGGGCAATGGGGACTGTTCAGGTGAGCTGGTGAGCTAGGGCCATTCCGCACACCGAGCTGGCACAGAGGGACTGCTCCTGTCCCGGGCAGTCCTGGGTCCTGTGCCCTAAAGGGCAAGCCTCACCTCTGAAGACACATTGTCTGCATTGGTCCCTGAGAACACAAGCCAACTACTGGCTCTGGAAGACCCCAGAAGAAGCAGTCACCCGTGACCCTGCAGGAGGACGATCTGGCTTCAGTGGATCCATGGAACAGATAATCTCCTAAATAGTTCTTAAGCATGATTTTTTTTTATTATGGTGATTTTAAAAATTAATTCATTTTAATTTCTGATGTAATTAACATACAGTGTTATATTGGTTTCAAGGGTGCCATATAGCGATTCAGTAATTCTGTACATCACTCAATGCTCATGATTCCAAGTGTACTTTTTGTTCCCATCACCACTGTCCCCATCCCCCCAGCCACCTCTCCCCTGGTAACCATCTGTGTGTTCTCTATACTTAAAGAGCCTGTCCCTTGGTTTGTCTGTCTTTATTTTGTTTCTTAAATTCCACATATAAATGAAATCATACAATACGTGTCTTTGACTTACGTCACTTAGCATTACACTCTCTAGGTCTGTTCGTGTTGCAAATGGCAAAATACCATTCTTTTTTTTTTAAAGATTTTATTCATTTATTTGAGAGATCACAAGTAGGCAGGCAGAGAAAGAGGAGGAAGCAGACTCCCTGCTAAGCAGAGAGCCCGATGCGGGGCTCCATCCCAGGACCCTGGGATGGGATCATGACCTGAGCCAAAGGCAGAGGCTTTAACCCACTGAGCCACCCAGGCGCCCCAATACTGTTCTTTTTGAGGCTGAGTCATATTCCATTGTCTGTGGAGACCAGTGATTGTTTACCCTACCTCTTGACTTTTGAACCTAAGCTTCATGTAAGAATGAAGGTTACTGTTGTAGCATTATCTTGAAAACTCATCCTTTCACTCAGAAAATACTTATTATCAATGATGTGCCAGGTACTGATAAAAAATTTGACTGCCCTGAAGTGGATTCCAAGTGTTTGTTGCGTGCTGAAAGCCTTTTCATTTGCACGGTGTTATTTGTATCCACAAAAATCAGACCAGGACAAAGCTGCCTAGAGCCTTGATGTCCTACTTAGAATGTGGGGAAAAGAGATCTCGAACCCCTCTATAAAATTATATTCCTCACTGTCTTGTTTTTACTTTTCACAATGAAAACTTTTAGTACGGGTAGATGAGGCGGCTTGTCGGATGTCACGTGAAATGTATTACAGTTGTAGTCAAAGAATAAAATGAATGATAAACCTCAACATTCAGGCTAGTGGATCCCTCCAAGGAGAAAGAGGGTTTTATGATCAATAAAAAGTATAGGAGGCAATTCAACTACATAGATAATATTTTATTTTTTAAGCAGCATTTTGGCTTCATGAGAAGTCACTGGTTTATTTCTTCTCATACCTTTTATATATCATAAATACTACACAGGAATTTTCAGAGATGAACCCAGAAAGGGTTGGGGGTGGGGGAGATAATGATGTATCTGGGAATGGAAATATGGTTTTAAAAATCCCTAAAATATTTAAGGTCTCTTTTCCTATAAATATGGATGTAAGAAAGAGCTCAGATTCAGACTCATCTCTTTTCCAGTGTGACGATTTTGTCAGTGACATATTTTTAAAAGTATTTCCCTTATTCCTAGTTTAAACTGTGTATCCAATATTCATGGCCCCCCAAAAAAAAAAAAATGCTAAGGACACACTGTGATTGGTAGGGATTGCCTGCTTGGCATGGTCCCTACCGAATTAGCATTTGATTTTACCTGATGGCTGTTGCCCTCTGTGACCTGAGCTCAGAGGGGTCCACAATCGGGGCATGTTTTCTTAGCAGGAAAATTGGCCCGGGACCAATCAAGCTAGTATTTGAAGTCAAAATTGCCTTTGCTAATGCTCTTTCTCTCTCTCTCTCTCTCTCTTGCTTTTTTTTTTTTTTTTTTTTTTTTTTTTTTTTTTATTTAACTGCAGTGAAGGGAGCAATCTGACCCCAGCTCATCATTACCCAGACTTCAGGTTTAAGACATATGCTCCACTGGCATTCCGATACTTCAGAGAACTTTTTGGTATCAAGCCCGATGATTACTTGGTAAGAACCTGTAATTTTCCTTCCTTCTCCAGGAATGTGTGATACAAACATTTGTCTCGTAGCAACAGTGACAAGGGACTTGGGTCTCTTGTTTTAATAAAGCTCGGGAGCGTAGTAAAAGGTCCAGGTTTCATAACGACGATAAATTTAGCTTCAGGAAACGGGATTGGACTCTGTCGCCTTTACTGATAGCTACAAAATCTGCTTTAGTCATAGATATTGAAATAATTGTGGGATTGGTTGCTACTTCAGATGATTATTCTAACAGATATATTATAATGAACTCTAAATACTCCTGCGAATTTTGCTGGCTGGATTCTTTTTGAAAGCCTTCCTGTTTTAATTGCCATATTTACACCAGTTGTCTCAAACCTGCCTTGGCCCACAGCCATTTTCACCTTGACCTACAACTTGAATGCCATTTCAGAGATGTTAGGTAGTTTTGTTCTCAACATCTCTTGATACAAACTCTTTTTAAATGTGTCTTCATCTGGTACAGGGCATATTCTGCCCTTAGGCTTGTCTTTTCTCTGCATCTTCTTTCTGGCTCGCAGCAGGTACGGAACACGGCAGCCTTTCTGGAAGGTGGTCTGATGTGATCTCAGATTGCTACCTTTATTCCTGTTCAAGGAGCCAGGAACTTCCTTTTTGTTTCAAGGGGAAAGTGGTTTATTTCGTAATTTGATCACTGTTAACACCCTGGGGCTCTTCAAAATTGGTTTTTGAGAAGCTATAGGAAGAGTGCCATCAAATATTTATCGTTCACCCCATTCTGAATGATCTTAATAAGACTTGAGCCAGATCCTGGAATAAAGCTTTGCTGGGGAAGTGTGGCAGCATTTATCCCTTGGAACACAGAGTATTTAAACTGCATTTTATAATTTGGGTAAGATGTACGTGATAAAATTCACAACAAATTCTGTTCTGTGCTGATGAAAACCTGTGCATCTGCGACCCTCTCCTTTTTTTTTTTTTCAAGTTTTTTTTAACTCCAGTTAGTTAACATGCAGTGTTGAATGAGTTGCGGGTGTGCAACATAGTGAATCACCAGTGTTCATCACAACAGGTGCACTCCTTGACCCCATCACCTATTTCTCCCATCCCCCACCCCCCCTCCACTCTGGTATGACCCCCTTCTTTAGTTGGGTTCTGAGAAACTCCTATGACTTCCGCCCCATGAGATGATACTTGCTCCTTGAGGCACATTAAAAAGGCTTCAGAGCAGTGGGGAGTAGAAAGTCCCTGGCCATCCTCCTGATCTTAAATGTGTTCCTCCAAGTAAGTAGCTTTCCGTCTTCTCATGCCCCACTCACTGAGGTATCTGCTGTCTCCACCCAGCACCTCCAACCTGCCCTCACCAGCTACTTCAGGACACAAAGCCACACATCTGAGGGGTGGGGAGTGGCGTGGGTGTGTGTAGATATGTTCTAGAAAAGATGTCTTCGGTTCCTGAGCATTCTATAATTATTGAGCATCACTGTCATTCAGGAAACATGTTTGGGAAGCTCAGTGGGGTCTTGATATCGTCTTACTGAAAACAAGATTGTGCTCCGATCTCCTGCCACGCGTTGGAAGTTGGTGGATGCTCCTTCGGAATTTCCTTGAGCTTCCGCTAGCCGAGGAGATGCCATACACTTGTGCTTCAGAGCACAGAGCACAACCCGTGTGATGACACATCTGTCCGTCTGCCCTCCTCCCCTGCCCCTCCTGCGGTCACGGAGCTGCAGGCTGGGAAGCCCACTCTTGTACTCCTTCTTCTGTCTCACAAAATTGCTTTCTTGGAGGAAGGCCTTTTCCTGATCAACAACGCACAGGGCTTCCACAGCTTCCCAATGAGCCTTCAGACTGGCAGAGTTACTTACGTCATGAGGTTAGAGACTGTGCAGAGGAGCATAGAGCAAGATGGCTTCTCAGAGCCGAAGTCTTTCTTCATGTAGCTGGAAAAAGGTGAATTAATCGGTCAGTACCTTGAGCACTTACTGTGATGAAAATGCTTGGCTACGAATTACGGCGAGATTCAAAAATGATAAGACATGATACTCAGAGAACTTAAAATCCAGCTGGAATGATGATTTGCTTATGTGGGAGAATCACAAACTTTACCAGGCAGTAACTAGACAGTCAGTACCCAAGGATGTCGGAGGAGGGGGCAGGGGGCCTCTGTCTGTTGTACCAAGGATGAGGAGGGCTTCTTCTGGGTGTGAAATGGTTTAACTGCGATGTAAAAATTAGAGGGGATTTGAGTAGGTGGAAAAGAAGGGAAGCATATTCAGGGGAGGGGAGGTGATGTAAGGATGGTGGGGCCAGAGACACAAATGCTTATGTGTTTAGAAGCACTTTGGGTGGACCAAGATGGCAGGGAGAGGAAAGTTTGGATCAGGAAGTTGGAAAGATGGGGCCAGATCATGCAAATAAACAGTTTGTTTGTTTGTTTGTTTAATTATAGGAAGCTGGTGAAATTTTAAAGAGAGACTACATATTCGATGATGTTGAGGAATTGGGTTTTCGATGGGATGATGGTATTCTGGTTCTGTTTTCAAAGAGGAGAGTTTGGCTTTTTGAGACACACGCTGAAGTTTCTATGGGTGGGATGATGTGATGTCTGGGGTTTGCTTGGAAAGAATCTGAGGGAAACAATTAGAGGGGTGATTGGGTTGTAGCGGAGACAAGACTGGCCAGGAGTTGATCATTGTGGAAGCTGGAAGGATGATAGAGAGATGTTAATTATGCAATTCTCTTTACTTTTATGTAGGTTTGAAATTTTCCATAATGAAGACTTGGAGGGTGGGGGAGAAAAAGACAGGAACAGGCAGGTCAGAGTGCTTTTGTCTGATTCCATTTTTCCACCTGCCTGTAACCGGACCCATCTCTGGGACCTGCAGAAAAACAGACAAAGGCCTTGTAGCTGAACGTGGCTGCCTGGACCCCAGTGGTTACGGCCGCCTACCTGCGGGCACTGAGACTCCCACTGGGGACACCCCAGTCCAGAACTAGAAGTTCACCTCCAAACCCTTCAACTGAAAAACCCCAGCCAGTGATTCAAAGTGTGGTAGATGAAGAAAGGGCTTTGAACCTGGCATGATATACTTCCCAGAATTAGTGATAACCCTCAGACTTCTTAGCACAACCATTCATTGTAGACCAACAGGCTAAAGCTGGGGTTGGAGAGGTCCCCAAGGTTACCCACGCTGGTCGGCGCACAGTCTGGACCCGAACAAGCATCCCCCAGCCCTCCCCCCGCGTGCTTGTCCATTGACGCGCTGGCCCCCCGGGCCACGGAGTCTCAGACCTCTCCTTCAATGTGATCTCACCCTAACACTCCCGCAGCCACCAAACTGTGAGGTGTCCGCTCTGAAACATCTGGCCAGAGGAGTCAGCACCTCCAACAAAGCGTTCTTTGGAAGAGTTAAGCCCAGATGAAGCACAGGAGAATCAAATAAGACCACCATTAAAAAACTGTGTGAAGGAAAAAAAATAAAAAAGTATCATCCAGAGCAGAGTCCATCCTGGCATCTATCAGAAGGGCTCGTCAAACCCATACCTGTGAAGATCTACTGACCTAAAAGGGGGAGGAGACGGTAACGTTATACAATAATGGTAACTCTCCAGAAAGGTCGACTCTTGAATCCCCGTGACACGCGTGCATTTCTGCTTTGCTTTGTGCTCTTGCGTCTGGATTTGAGCCTGAATTACTCTGTTTTGTTCTCAGTACCGTGAAGGTTCACATGTGCATGCCGATTGCACGTTTCATGTTGGAACATGCATAATGTGGATCGTGAGACCACACACCCGAGTGCTGGTATGTGCCCTGCACGGGGACACACCTCCTTGCTTACTTGTTCCAAAATAAACGCCTCCCAAGGGAAGGTCAAGGGCCCCCAGAGCACGTCTTTCCCCCACATCTCTGCTTGGACAACAAGCCCTTGGTTGGATTTCCTGCTCCCCCAGGTGCCCCAGTGTTCCAGAATCTGGCATGATTTACATGATGTCCTTCCAGACTCACGGGCACCAGTGAAGAGCAGGGGGGTGAATATTGCACACTACTGGGGGGAAGAAAATGGCAGGAAGAATGATCTCCACCACGCTGAGCCGGTTTACATTGTTAATTTGCCTTGGCGGGGCCCACCGGGGTTGTACTTTGTGGCCTTTCCAGTGGGGATCTTCGGAAGGCCCTGCAGGAAATCGAAGGAAGAGAATAGATGCATTGGAACAGCTTGCACGATAGAAAGGGCCTGCGGGAAAGTGCAGAAGACGCGGGCGTCCACGTGGGCCTTGTGGATCGAGGCTAATTAAAATGTTCCCTCCCACCTCTTTATTTGCTCTTTAGCAGAACGTTGCCCAGAAGGTTGGTCACAAGGTTCTAGGATGAGAAACCTCAGAATTGCAGGTGACAAGGGTGGGAGTCCTGGCCTCATGATGCCAGTTGTCTGCACACTGATGCTCCGTCGTTGTGACCCCCACCAGAGTCCAAACAGTTTCTTTTTGCGTGCATATTACTTTGTAAATTACCTAATAGAGGACTGTTCAACAAGTAACCAATGAAATACTTCCCCTATAATGTCACTGCTTATAGAAGAATTTGAGACTTTAATTGGAAACAGATGTACAGGTCTGAATCCGGTTTTCTCCAGACCGATCCTCCTGAATTGCCCCCTAATTTCCCTATTTGCAGCCTCTTGTTTCTGCGTTCTGTGTTGCCGTTGCCCTTCCACAACATCGACTCCTGTCCCTAAGAAGGTTGTATGCCAAGACCTTGAAGCCCGTAAAACAGAGAATCAGAATTCCTAAAGAGAGTGCGGGGTCTGCCCTCACTCTTTCTAAGAGCTTAGGCTCCACACCTTTGTTTGCCGGCGTCTCAGATTCGTGATTGCGCAAAAGATGCGTCTTGCTTCTTGACTCACTAGGAATGTCGTGGTGTATCTTTGGGTAGCCCCCTGGTCGTTGGAGTTGGCCTGAGGCATGGCCAGCTCTTGCTCACCAGGAAGGGGTCTGCCCCCCTCCCCTGCGCACGGTCACGCAGCAAGAACTAGGAACAGGGATAAGCCAGTGGTCACTCTTAGCCAGCGGCTTTGAAAGCACCCACTTTAAAAGCTTCCAGCTGCTTTCCTGGAGATTTTGTTAGCGTTGTTTTAGAGATGAGGTTCCTTGGACTCTGGGTGCCAGGGGTATTTACGCCAGGTCACTTAAGTGGTCACTGGTAGAGGCTTGATTTTTTTTAAAAAGAAAAAAAAAAGTGCTTTCCGGGGTGCCTGGGTGGTGCAGTGGGTCAAGGGTCAGACGCTTGATTTTGGCTCAGGTCATGATGTCAGGGTCCTGAGATCAAGCCCCACGTCGGGCTCTGCACTCAGCATGGAGTCTGCCTGAGATTCTCTCTCTCTCTCCCTCTGCCCCTCTTGCTCTCTTTCTCTCTCTAAAATAAATAAGTATTTTTTAAAAGGTGTGGGGGGGGTGATTTCAAGTCCCAGGCCTGTCCAACTGATGAGATTTCCACACGGGTCCCGCACCCACAGCAGGGAAAACGCCCTCTGCTTCCCCAGGGGCATTCATGGCATTCTGTATGTGGTCTTGGGGCTATTTTTGTTTTCCTTCCTCATCTCTAAGTCACCCATCATGGCAGAGGCTCTCACTCTGCTCAGCGTGGAAGCATCAGGAAGCCAGCCTAGAGGAAAGAGAAGTGGAAAACGGAAGTTGCAGTGACTCTCAGAAAGGCCGCATACACTCGCCACTTTCTTTTCCTCAGAGAATTTTGTTTCTCTTATCCATGTGCTGCCAAAGCAAGCTAATTTAAAATCAGCATCTAGAAACTGTCTTTTAGTTGTTGTTCTCCTGGTTTCTCCCTTCTCCGTCTTCCTCCCCCCACCTCCTACTCCCCTCCTTTCAGATTTCTCTGTGATGGGGACTTCGCTCTTCAGAAGCCCAGGTGAAAAAGCATTGGGGCATGTTCTAGATGTTTCCATCTTCAGGACCCAATTCTTTAAATCCACGGGGTCTGGTCTGGTCTCACACGCTGGGTCCTGACCTTTTCCTCTGCTCTCAGTGTTTCTCTGGTCAGTAGTGGGAATTGTTAGTTGATAAACACTGAGCCCCATGGCCCCAATTTGACTTCCCTACGGTTTTTTGGCATTTGGTTGGATTGATAGCCCTTCACTTGTCGGTGGCATGTGGCGTTCAGCCACAGTTCGACAAAAATTTATTTAGTGCCTGCCGTGTGCATCATATCCCTGCCTGAGAGCCGCGTGGTTTGTGCTCTCCCAGAGTTCTGCAGTCTGCTGGGGACACGGAATAAGAAATGGGCATTTGAGGTATTTCGTGGTAACTTCCATGATGAAAACGTCCAGTGCCAGGAAGCAGATGATCTAGACTCATGGGACCAAGAAGAGTTTTCTGAAATAAGCGCCATCCATCAGATGCTGAAAGCCTGAGTCACATAAGGGATTCCTCGCTGAGCCCCAGGCCTCTTTTGTCCCCTGACAGTGGCTTCTCAGCACAGCAGACAGAGTGGTCCTCTGCTCCAGAACTTCCTCTGGCTTTCAGCTCCCTTAGAGAAAAAGTCAGCATCTGTGCAGTGACCTGTGCCACCCTCTGTGGTCTGGCCCATGTGCTCTTTGCTCTCCTGACTCCCTCTGCTCTGGCCACTGGTCTCCTGGCTGTGCCTTGAACTCCCCAGGTCTCAGGACCTTTGTATTTGCCCTCCCCTCTCCTGGACACATCCTTCCCCCAGACAACCACGGGCCTCTGCTCAAATGCCCCCTTCTCAGGGAAGCTTCCAGTGGCCAGCACTACTCAAAATTCATGGTAAACCAACCCTCAGTCCCTGCTGGCCCTCCATCTCCTTTCCATGCCCCATCTTCTCCATAGCACTTACATGTCCTGATATATAATTTCTTACTTGTTTCCCACCTGTTTTCTCCTGCTGGGATCCAAGCTTCCTGAATGCCTGGGATATTACAGATGCCCAGGACCCGTTTTCTCAATGCTAAATAAATTCATGAATGAGGGGTAGTCAGCCTGGTGAGGGTAGAAAAGAGGTGGGTTCTTGGTAGAGGAAGATGTAGAATCCCAGTTGTTGACAGTCTTTGGCACATTTGAGGAAAGGGGAAGTAGCTGTCTGTGACTAGAGCTAGATTTTAAGGAGGGAAGTGGTAAAGGAGAAGGCTGGAGAGCAGGGCTGGGCCACACACGGCCTTGACAACTGTGGTAGGAAATCTGGGTGTTGTCTTCTAACCAGATGGTAGAAACCACTGAAAGATGTGAAGACATGGGAGGATGAGATCAGATTGGCATTTTGAAACATCTCCGGCTTCCTGGTAGAAAATGCACAAGAGAAGTCAGGAGTGGATACTCGAGGCCAGGTTGAGTCTCCCATAGTAATGAAGGCATGATATGAAACCACTGAACTTAGGGTATGAGCAAAAGAGAGGGCATGAAGGGGGCAGATATAATCAATAGTCTGGATATGAAAGGTGAGGAAATGGGAAGCATCAGGGATGTTGCCCAAGTTTCCAGTTTGGGAACAAAATGAATAAGAGGGAGAATATAGAGATTGGGGGTGGGGGATGATCTAGAATCACCATGTATGGTTGTGCAAGTTGTGCACTGCCCAAGAATACGTGGCTAAGCTAAAGGAGTAGAGACTGGAATCCAGCCCTTCTAATCCTGAGCCTTGTATCTGACCCAGGGCTACATTTGCCAGAAGAAAAAGGCACCTCTTTCTAGTTACTGTAGAAACATCGTGTGTGCTAACCCTAGTCCTGAGATGAATTTGATTTTGAACTTGGTACACGTGAAGTGCTTGTAATGTAACCAGATAGAAATATCTATTAAAAAGGTAGGCATTCAGGTCTGGACCCTTGAAAGTGTTCTGGCCTAGAGCTACAGCTGTTAAGAGTCCTCTCCTTATTGAAACCGTGCATGGATGACATCTTTTGGGAAAGTAAATAGTGAGAAGAAAATAGGTGTTGGTGTTCATGTGACAAAAACACAGTATGAGTCATACCTTCAGTTGTTAAGTTACAGACACTTGCTGGAAATAGCACCGTAGACCACAGCATTGTTTGCATTATTCCACTGGACAAATGTGATGACTGGTGATTCTCTCACATGACATTGGGGGAGGGGAGTTTCAGAAGGCATTTCTGTTTCTCATAAAATTATTAGGATAAATGGATCAATTAAATTTTTAGAAACCTCGAAGAGCCCTCTTAGTAGAACCTTCTTTGAAAGCTCGTGGCAGGGAACTTCCTACTTCAGAATGGTCTAGATGTGTAATCCTGTGATTTTCCTCCTTGGAGGCTTCGTGTACAGTGGATGTATTTTTTAAATTTTTTATTTAAAATTCAGTTTAATTAGTATATAGTGTAGTATTAGTTTCAGAGGTAGAACTTAGGGATTCATCAGTTGCATGTAACACCCAGTGCTCATTCCCTCACGTGCCCTCCTTAATGCCCATCACCCAGTTACCCCTTTTCCTTCTCCCCGCCTACTTTGTTTCCTTGAGTTAAGAGTCTCTTATGGTTTGTCTGCCTCTCTGTTTTCATCTTATTTTTCCTTCCCTTCACCTTTGTTCTTCTGTTTTGTTTCTTAAATTCCACCTAAGAGTGAAACCATATGATAACTGTCTTTCTGTGCTTGACTTATTTCACTTAGCATAATACCCTCTAGTTCTATTCACCTCCACGTTGCAATGGCAAGATTTCCCTTCTTTTGATGGTTGCATAATGTTCCATTGTATATATATATATACACCACATCTTCTTTATCCACTCATCTGTTGATGGACATCTGGACTTGTTCACTAGTTTGGCTCTGGTGGGCATTGCTGCTATAAACATTGGAGTGCATGTGCCCCTTCAAATCACGATGTTTGTATCCTTTGGAGAAATACCTAGTAGTGCATTTTTAATTATTTATTTATTTACCCCTGCAGTATTCCATCTGCAGTGAACCTCTAATAGAGCTGTCCAACCCTGGAGCCAGTGGATCCTTGTTTTTTGTGACCAGTGATGATGAATTTATCATCAAAACCGTTCAGCATAAAGAAGCTGAATTCCTTCAGAAGCTACTGCCAGGCTATTATATGGTAAGTAACTGTCCATAATTAAAACTCTTAGATGAGATGTTACTTTCCACAAGGTCTTTTTTTCCTCCTATGCTTTTTTATAGTAACCCTCTGGCATGTTTCTTTCTTTTGGGTGAGCTTCGTTTTGCATTTGGATTCTACTGTGACCATTGTTGAATAGATTTTACCAAGTAGAACTGTTAGCAGAGGATAGTTGACTCCCACAGTTCTGGGTTCAAATCCCAGCTTAGCCATTAGTGAATGGTATGACCACAAGGAAGCCATAGAACCTCTGAGCTGTAGTCTCCTCCGTCTTTCAAAGCTGTGAAATGCCTGTCTTGGAAGCTTGTTGTGATAGAGAAAGATTATAGGGTGTGAGATAAAGGAAGCAGTGCCTTGCCAAGTTCTGGGCTCCCAGTCCAGAGTCATAATGTGAATGCTTAGCATTCATTGAGCGCTAAGCTATATGTGAAACACAGCTGTAAAAATATTATTTAATTCCCAAATCTGCTGGAGATGAATCACACATATAAATACAGGGATCAGAAATCGAAATGAAATCTCAGTGGACAGGATGGATGGGATTTTTGATCCTGAACAAAACTGGGAAAATTTTTTTAGAGCATATTTTCTACTTTATATTAGAGAACACAGAAGATCCAGAAAAGCAAGAAAAATGCAACCAACTCTCATTCTTTGCCCAAGATACATATTACTAATATTTGGTGTATGTCCTTCCTGATGTATTCTGTTCATATGCACATTTTTTGAATAATGTGAAAGTGGGATCAAATGGTCATTGCACTTTACTAACCTGCTAAGTAAGTAGATCTTAAACATGTAGATTTCTACGCTTAGGGGAACTAGTCTCTTGTTCTAGAACTGCATTGTCCAAGAGGGTAGTCATTAGCCATATGCAGCTATTAACTTGAAACTAATTGAAGTTAAATGAAATGGTAAGATCAAGCTGAACAAGTGGTTTATCCCAATCATGTAAGCTAGTATAACAAATAGTGTAATTCATCCAGTTAACAGGAAAAAATGTGAACATCTTATGGTAATCCAAATAAATATTGCTTAGAAACAATGGCATTCAAAATTCAACAGCTTCTCCTGCTTAAAATTCTTTAAACTGGCAGGAAAGTTTTAACATAAATAAATTAGTGACACACACATTATGCATTTATCAGTCTCCAGGAGTTACATAGTACCTCATGGAGAAGAACAAGAGCCGTTTCATTGGAAATAATGGGAAAAGCTAAGGATGCCCTCCATCATTGGTCCTTTCTGATATATTTGCAAGAATCTCTAGCAATAACTTTTTGAGTACAAAAAGAAACAGAAAAGTATAAACACTCTTCGCTTGTAAATAATACAATTAAAAATGAGCAAAACTTCAAGAAAATTAGCCAGCAGTTTCTAGAGGTAACGAGAGCCCAGCAGATTTGCAGGATGTAAGATATATCTACGCAATCCATTGTATTCCATTATGTAGATCATCTAGAATAAGTAGAATAGAAGGGAGAAAATGAGATCCTGTTTATGAGGACAGTAACTTACAGCAAACGTTATTAGAATAAAAATACAAGTGAATGAAGGCAGACTATCATTCTGGTCAGGAAAGCAAATAATAGTTAGCACTATAATGTCTGAGCATAACCCCAACAGAATTTTTGTAATAGGAACTCTAAAATACTTGAGTCTGTAAAAAGAAATCTATAAGAACAATATGAAAGAAACTACAAATTGTTATTGAAAGGCATAAAACAAAGTTATGACATAATGAGACACAATTCGTTCCTGAACTCAGTGTTGTAAGGATTTCAGTTCTCCCAAATCATGTTCTAAACCCAGTCTGATTCCAACCAAGAATGCCAGTAGGGCTGCATCTCTGAGAAAACACCAAGTGTCATGGGACACCGATGTTGTGGGTGGGCTTGGGGGTCCCAGGGGCCATGGAAAGACACAGTGGCTTCTCTGTGGGCCAAAGACAAGGAGTGGATCCCTGTCACCAGGCTGGGCCTCCTGGTCAGTGACAGGAAGATCAAGTCCTGGAGGAGATGTGTTTCTTCTCGAGGAATCTGAGATGATTGACTTTTCCTGGGGATATCCATCAAGGATGAGGTTTTGAAGACTATGCTGGTGCAAAAGCAGATCTGTGCTGGCCCTTGGACCAAGTTCAAGGCATTTGTTGCCATTGGAGATGACAATGGACATGGCGGTCTGGGTGTTAAATGTTCCAAAGAGGTCACCACTGCCATCCATGGGGCCATGATCCCTAACAAGCTTTCCATTGACCTGTGTGGTGAGGTGACTCGGGGAACAAGATTGGCAAGCTCCATGCTGTCCCATGCATGGTGACCGGCCACTGTGGCCCTGTGCTAGGGTGCCTCACTCCTGACCCGAGAGGTGCTGGCACTGCCTCAGCTCCTGTACCCAAGAAGCTACTGATACTGGCCAGTACAGACGACATGTTCCCTTCAGCCAAGGACTGCACTGCCACCCTAGGCAACTTTGCCAAGGCCACTTTTGATGTCATTACAAGTCTTAGAGCTAGCTCAGCCCGACTCTGGAAACAGACTACGTTCACCAAGTTTCCCCATCAGGGATTCCCTGACCATCTTGTAACAACCCACACCAGAATCTCCTTGCAGAGGACCCAGGCTCCTGCTGTGGCCACCACATGCTTTATAAAGGAAATAAAGTGAACTAAGTCTGTGTTTAAAAAAAATGCCAATAGGAGTTTGACCTGAATTAGTTCATTTGAAATGAAAACAAAAACAAAAAGGGAAAACAAGTGTCATTTTAAGAGCACTTAAAAAAAACAAACAATGGAAGGGAGGGGTTGTAAGACTATCAAAAATGTTTTGTCTAGTCTGACAAAACATTTTTGATGAAGAATTAAGATAGTGAACCTGCCATAACATACACCAAAAACCCACAAACTTTTTCTAATATTAAAGGTATTAATATATTAAATAATGCAGTGCTAGACAAATACATCAGTGAATTGAGATAATTCCATATTTCAGATCTTTCCACACAGAGAATCATTCTAATGGAGTAAAAATCAAATGTAATGACCAAAACTATTAAAAATTTGGAAGAAAAGAGAAGAAATTTAGGACCCTGGGATATAAAACCTTCGCTAAACAGGAAGCAAAAAGAAAGCACAAGAAAGAAGTACGTAAATGTGACTACATCAAAGGGCAAAACATCAGTATCACAAACAAACAAAAAAAAACACCAGACACAAAATTAACGTAAGCACATGGACTATTTCTAGAATGATAAAAAGTGGGGACAGTAGTTAAAAGTTGGGAACTGGTAAAGGATCAGGGGATAGTAGAGAAACTTTCATGATGTGAAGTGCTCTCCACCATAACTGTTCTTAATTTTTAAAGTGAAACAAAAATAGGCATGTATTTTTTATTAGTACAGTAAAAAAGATAACATACTGGGAGAAAATATTTACCCCATAGAGAGTAGGAAAATGATAAGTATCCAGAGTGTATCAAGAACTCCAACAATAACAAAAACTTACAGAAGAACAGGCAAAGGATATTAACACAGAATTGTCTTCAAAATGGCTAAAAATACATACACATGTTACATTTCTCTAATAGTCAGTGGTATTCCAGTTTTTTTTTAAGTTTCCTTTTTTTTTTTTTAACCAGTCATGTGTACAGAGATTTTAAGCTTGATGCTACTCATCATGGATGAAGGGTGAGGGGAAATACATTATCTTACAAAGTATGATTATAAGTTGGTCTACCCATCTTGGAAGATACTTTTAAATTTAAAATGCTCATCATTAGACCCCAGCCAGTAATTTTCTTTTTAGCTCCCATAGATCATGTTCTTTGCCTGTTTTTAGTTGAATCTCAATTAGGACTCTCTGTCCATTTTCAGTTCAGCCACTTTTAATGCTGTGGGTTGAGAATGATTAAGGTATTGTTCCAATGAGCTAACTGAAGTATCTGATCAGAGACAGGGTTATTTTAGTAATGACTATGAATAAAGAGACTCACACTCCATTTTTAATTCTCCTATTAGATGAAAACACACATTTAACAGAGTCTTCTTTTGTGAAAATAGAATTTACATGTTTTTTTCTCCTTTTTCTCTTTTTAGAACTTAAACCAGAATCCAAGGACTCTTTTGCCAAAATTTTATGGACTGTATTGCATGCAGTCAGGAGGCATCAATATCAGGATTGTGGTGATGAACAACGTCTTACCGCGCTCCATGAGAATGCACTTCACGTATGACCTGAAGGGCTCCACTTACAAGCGAAGAGCTTCCCGAAAGGAGAGAGAGAAATCCAACCCCACGTTTAAGGACTTAGATTTCCTGCAAGACATGCACGAAGGGTTATATTTTGACACAGAAACATACAACGCACTCATGAAAACACTTCAGAGGGACTGCCGGGTAAGGACATGTCATCGCTGTGGTGGCCTTTGGACAGGCACCTGTAGTCTTGTAGCCTTGGTAAGGAATGTCCAGAGTGGACATGGGGCAATCTCGTCATTCGCAGAGCTGGTGCCCATCCGTGCTTCCTTGATGTGAAGGAATTGGTGGATGATAAGGGAATTGTCTGGAGTATCTGTGGATTTTACTAAAAAAAAAAAAAAAAAAAAGCTTAGTCTGCTTTCTTTGGTAAAATGAAACATGTTTTTTAATCTTTTCATCCACTCCTGTGGTTAAGCTGGAGGGAAAGGAAATTAGGTGTAGTGTAATGATTAGCCAGAAAAGCCATATCCAAACCTTAACACAAGTAAGATTCCACCAGGAGAGAGAAGTTTAGAGAGTTGATATGCTGATCTCTGGATCAAGGCAGAAGCATGAGGCAAGCAATACAGTTGCCGAGATTATTTTGGGCGACCAGGAATGAGTCTCGACAGTTAGAGCAAAGACTGTAATATGCAGACTTAGCCAGAGTGATTGTCAGAAAGGAGGAGGAATTTAGAGTCCCCCAGCCTGCAATTCTTAGGAACCACGTAATAAGACCCAGAACCTGGGAGAGATGTTTCCGACATGGTGAATTTACAGAAAGTAGGTAAAGGTTCCCTTGGAGAAAAAGAGAAAAATGGAGCTCTTCTGAAGAATGATGGTCATTTGGTGAACAAGTTCTCAGAAATAGAGTTTTGTGGCCCAGGTGCCCTTGGGAGAACCATCTAGGTTCCCAGCCAAGTTGGACACGGTGGAGGTGGGCAGACGTTGGGCTCCGACCTGGCCAGGGTGGGTAGGACTCACAGCACCTGATTCCTGGGCCATATGAGCTGTGCCTTCCAGACTGTGGCTTTCTGGACCTTGTGTGGGCCTGGACAGATGACCCGCATTGGTCAGAACAGAGACGGGGGACAAATCCTTGCTGAGAAACACAGCCCTACTATTTATGGGTCTTTTCTTTCTGTATGTTAAGATGTGCGGGAGAATGCACTGAGGTGTCTCATTGGCATGGGTTGCATTGATAGAGATGTTACTCCACAGAAACATTTTTTTAAGATTTATTCATCAGAGAGAGCACAAGCAGGGGGAGCTGCAGGCAGAGGGAGAAGCAGGCCCCCCGCTGAGCAGAGAGCCCGATGCGGGACTCTATCCTGGGACCCTGGGATCATGACCAGAGCAGAAGGCAGAGGCTTAATTGACTGAGCCCCCCAGGCACCTTCACAACTCCTATTTTTAATGCTTGGTGAGCTAGACTAGCCTGCGATCTTTTTTTCAGCATACATGTCATTTAATTTTCTCAGCATCCATTTGAAGCCCGTACTGTTCATCTTCCCATTTTAATTGGTGGATAATTAGGCTCTTAAAGAGGTTAAGAAACCTGCCCAGCATTACTTAAGCAAGTGAGTGGCAGAGCCCACACCTGTTTGGGTACAAAGTATGTGCTCTTCACAGTTGAAATGTAAAGATTCACTGTCAGGATTTTTATTATTATTATTATTATTGTTATCTTTTTAGAAGTCAGGGGAGGAACAGTGGGAACTGAGCAAACAACAACAACAAAAATATCCAACTGTGCTGTTCAGATATCTGGGTGGATATGAATGATTCATGTTTTTCTTTAAAAAAGAAAACAAAACAAAACGCTCACATTTTAGCAGAAACCTTTTCCTGTGCTTTTTCTGCCCTTACAGGATGTGGGTGAAAAGTGACTCTGAATTCCCCAGAGTTTAGTACAATCCCCTTCGTTTTTAGATTTGCTTTCTCTTTGTGCGTGTGTGTGCTTCTGGCCTCTTTAATATGGAAAGCCATTTCTTTTCTGTCTTTTAAAAACACAGAGTCCTGTGCCAAAAAAAAAGGGGGGGGGGAATGTAGAAAAGCCATAGCTCCTGATCCGTCTGTTTGTGTTTCCTGAGCCCAGTACTGATAGAACGAGGTCAGACATGACTCTCCATCAGGAGAGAGGCCCTGGAGATCTGCCTTTTTATTTTTTATTTTTCGGAAGACTTGTTGTTTTGTGGAAGGTCGACGTGGAGGTCCTAACCCCAACGCCCTCTTCCTGGCTGCATTTGCTCTTGGCCTAAACACAGACCGCGGAACTTCTTTAACTTACGCGCAACCTTTGTCTTCAGAAAGGCTCTTCTCAGGGTGGGGTGGGGGCAGGTACTTGCCTCACTGTGGGGGACCCACCAAGGCCCTTCCACCATCTGCCTTGACTGCGACCAAGGCCTTTGTGACCTGCGGCAGTCAGCAGCTGGTTCTCTGAGCAGAGCTGCCGTGAGGAAATGCCGTTCCCATTTCCAGAACGGTGGGTCTCCATATTCCATAGTCATGGGTCTCTTGGCAAAACTGATGGAAGCTGTGAACTTTCTCCCCAGAAAAGTGCTTATCCATTCCACAAACCCTGAATCCCCTGGAGCCCGGGACACCCACTACCCCCCAAACCTCGTCCCAAGCTCAGAGTCGCCATCCTAGAGCTGGGCAGCGATGTGCTGTCCCTCTTCAAGTTATCCCTCCAAAGAGCCACCACCCTGGATGCTAGAACGGGTTGGTTGTGTGGTTGGTGTTGCTGAAGGCGTCTCTTGGCCTCACATCTCCCTCACTCTGTAGGACCGAGCTTCAGTGTAGGCCGGGGTGCCGTGGAGATGCAGGGAAGATGGGGGGGGTCACCCCAAGGCTAGCTCCAGTGCTGTCTGTGGTTCACAGCCCTTGGTCTCCATGAAGTACTACCACCAAACCCCCAGCAGCCAGGGGACTAAGCTTTACCCTATTAGCAGCCCAGTCACAGGAAGGTGTACCAGTCCCATCTTAAAATACATCCTTTCATTCACTTATCGGACATGCACTGTAGGCCTACTATGTGCCAACATGAGGCAAAGAACCACCATGTCCGATCGTTGTCGTATAGCGTATTAGGTGCAGTGATAATGTTCTCAGGCTGTGGGCGGATCAGAGTAGGCGACATCATGGCTTCGGTTTGGGGAAGAGTTGTCCAGGCAGGCAAAGCAGTTAGAGATGTGTTTCGGAAGAGAGAACGATGGAAGCTAGACATGAAGTAGCAGGACATGGTCCGAGAGCTGGAAGTCTTGGGCATTGCCGCCGTTAATGGTCAGGGAGAGCACATGAGGCAGGAGAGAAAAGCCGTCAGGAGCCAAAGCATGTCAAAAGGCCCTTTCTGGCCGTGCCAGGGTCCCCTTAAGGACTTAGAAGTGGCAGATCCAAGAATCCCAGACCTTCGGACCCCAGCTCATCTGTTGCTCCCAAGCAGTTACGATAAACCTCCTGACCTCTTGCTGGCCTCTTGCTTCCTGCCCGTTCACTGCTCTCATTTTCTTGGCTTGACATCTTAGACCCCAGGATCCCATTTCCGTTGCGTGCGCACTGGCTGGAAGACACCTTCGTGGCTCATTGACCTGGCTTCACTGGCGTCCTTTGTGTCCTGCTCCCCACAGTCTCCTTCCGTCGGTCCCAGTCAGAGCTGCTTCTGGACCCTTGTGTCCCAAATGGCCTGATCTGCCTCCCTGCACAGAGAGCGGTTTTCTGCCAGGATCCTTGGAGCAGCCCCACTCGGCTTTCCTGGGCTTCCCTGGCCCGAGCTTGGGCCCTGTGTTGGTCCATCCCCGGCCCCCTCCTCCACAGAGCGCCCCAGCCACTTGGAACTCTCCTAGAAAACGAAATGCAGTGTATCTTTCAAATCTGCCGAGCTTCCTCCCATACGATTCAAACGGAGGCTCTTTCCAGAAGCCGGGATCCAGATCCTGGGCTCCCTGCAGTCTCCACGTTATTGGCAGCATCTGGGGGAAGTGGGTCTGTAGATCCCTGGGTCCCCTTTCTGGAAGCATTTCCGCTGCCCGGGCCTCACCCTCCGCCTGCCGCAGACGGCCTTCTACGCCCACAATGAGCTTGGCCCAGGGTGGGAGTGGGGACGGGCACCCTCCGGGACATCATAGGTCACTTGTTGCTCTCAAAAACAGGAAGTAGGGTTTATTCAAACCGTCCCCACGTGACGAACAAGCTGAGAGGCATTGCTTTGTACTCAGTAAGTCGCCACGTCCCATCCTGTGTGCCTCCTAAGTAACTCTTGGAGCTGCCCCCGTCGCTGCATATACACAGCCTCTGCCTTTACTGCGACCCTGGTGATTCATTCCTGGGGACTTTGCAGGAGCATCTTTACTGATTTTTAAGGTCATTGCCTTGCGGCGTGTCCTCAAGCCTGCCACCGGAGCGATCCTCTGCTCATAAGACACCGGTCCCTGAAGGTCCTCTAATTGGGGCTCCCCATTGCCCATGAACCAAAGCCCACTCTTCCTAGCTTGGGACACTGAGATCCCTCCTGCTCTGGCCCCGGCTGCCTTCTCCAGATGCTCCTTCCACTTTCTTCTTGGCCTTCTCTTGCCTCTGTCCAAAGCACCTTCTCTCTCCAGCCGTTCCCATCTCCCGGACCCACTCTGTGAAGGTTTGGGTCTCCCTGCCTGCTTCCCTCTGCGGGGCTCTCCTTCCCCACCCTTCTTCACCTTGCCCTCCCCCGCTCCTCTCAGGAACCCCCCCGGGTCACTTCCTCTGAGACCACCATGCTATGGCTCCCCAGCACCCTGGGATGACCTCTTTTGTGGGATTTCGCTCACTCTTATTTATTCGCGTGCAGATCCTTGAGCTCGAGCATCCAACCTTCATCTCTCACCGTGTCTACATCGTCTGATGCTTAGCACATGTTTCTTGAACTACGTATTTGAGCCAAGGAGTAAGCATGATAAACTGTCAGGTGACAGAGAGACGCGCTTGGGTCACATCTCCAAGAAAATCTATCTTTGGTGACTTGTGTGTATCGAGGCGATTTCTGAGTTCTGCCCGTTTTGGAGGAAGTACCCGCTTTCCCTGCTGTGCCTGCCAGGTTGGCACTGAGAATGTAATGAGGCAGATGATCTCCATTTTTAATCATTTGGGATTATTTTGAAAAACAGAACTGATTGTGCCTGTCTTAA